CAAGTGTATAGGGAAAAAGTAGAAAATACCGATAAGTAAAAGGAAGAAAAAATATCCATATTCACACAACCCAAAGAGAACTAAGTATTCTAAATCTCTTAGTGTGTATCCTTCCAGACTTCTTCATATTGATACACACACACACACACACACACACACGCAGAGTTTTAAATATTTTTCTCTATAAAATTTTTTATATCTCAAGTGGGATTATATTATATGTATGGTTTTATAAACTTTTTTCGCTTAACATATAATCTTTTATTAAAAAATTTTCTGCACAATCATATTGACTCTTTTGGAGACTTAGTCGAGTTCTGTAGGGACAGTAGAACCTCACCTTTCTGTCAGATAATATTCCTCAAATACAGCTCAGATCCTTTCCTGGCCTTGCCTAGAACCTTTGTGGCACACCATCGCTTACAAAATGAGTTTCATATTTATTAACCTGGTGTTCAAGAAACCGCAGGCTAGTCCCTCTTGGAGTAGTAGTGGGAAAGAAATGAGACAGCATAGCCGAGTGTGGGAAGAACCGCTGTTGGGCTGGCAGAACAAGTGAGAACAAGTAGAAGTACCCTCTCCATTCTGAAGGGTGTAGCCGTGGCTGCTAGAGACAGTGCTTTGAGCTGATACCCAAAGAAGGACCTAGTTAGCCAGGCCTGGAGAAAAAGGGGCTGGGGTTGGGCTTGGGGGTTGGGAAGATACCTTCTCAGAAGAAGAGAGATCACAAGTTAAAGCCAAAGGTCTAGAGAGGCCACAGAAAGCAGGGCTTGATGGAAGGAAGAAATTCGGTGCTGCTGAAGCCTGGTGTGTGTGTTTGTGGGGGCCTTGGGGGTGGCTGGGAAAGTAAAGGGCTGTGTCCTGAGGGGCCATTGTCTGGAACCTTTCAGAGAGCCTTGTTCCATCACTGCCTGTTGCATGGAACCTTCCTTTTTCAGTCAGAGAAAACCCCGTGTCTAAAATGCCATGGCTCTTAGCCTTCCTCCTCTCACAGCTTTTATCACTTTTTACTGGACAAATTCATTGTGCGTGTGTTTTTTTTTAATTCGTGTGTCACAATTTCTTCTGTATTTTGTAAGTTCCTTGGAAGGAGGGCCTCACATCGTTTCACCTATATTGCATGTAGTAGATGGTCAGTACTTGTTTGCGGAAGTAACAACAGATAATAAGCTCAGCAGGTGGTTTCTAAGAAGAAAGAGAAGGACAGTTATTCATACTTGTGTCACCTGTTCTTCCAGAGCACAGCAGAAAGAACAGAAATAGGCATGACAGACAGGGATCATACTCTTTCCAAGAATCTAATGTCATCTGCCATGATAAGCTCTTGTAACTCACAACCTGTTCTCTGTCTATAAAGCTCCACATCTGAAACTGATGGAGTGCGAATCCCCTTCAGGTACGGGACGTTGCCACAGACATCATGCGAATTATATTGCTTTCTAATACAATGATTTCCCAAGGTCACCAGGTCTTAATACAAAAATACCACATTTTTATAATATTTTTTTAGTATTTACATTTAATAAATATTCTTTACAAATCCATTCAGCAAATATAGCCGAAGGAGGTGAAGCACAATCCTGCTTTATGAAGCCTTCTTCTGTGGTGCCTGTGGGAACTCTCTTTTGTAGCTCACATTTGCGTTGTACAGCATTTAGGAAATGTAAACGTTCCCACTGAAGCTCTTGTAGCATACAGTATTTAAACCAGCCTACCAGAGTGATTCTGCTGATCTATCCAAATAAATGCTGATCGGTTTTTGTGTTGTTTTGTTTTCCAAGATTTTTTTTTTAAGATTTTATTTATTTATTTGACAGAGACACAGCGAGAGAGGGAACACAGGCAGGGGGAGTGGCAGAGGGAGAAGCAGGCTTCCCGCAGAGCGGGGAGCCCGATGCAGGGCTCGATCCCAGGACCCTAGGATCATGACCTGAGCCAAAGGCAGACGCTAAACGACTGAGCCACCCAGGCGCCCCTGTTTTTTAAGATATTAAGAAATTTTATTTATTTATTTGAGAGAGAGAGCATGAGCAAGGAGGAGAGGCAGAGAGAGAGAAGCAGACTCCCCACTGAGCCGGGAGCCTGACACGGGGCTTGATCCCAGGACTCTGGGCTGCTTAACTGACTGAGCCACCCAGGCGCTCCAGTGCTGATCGTTTATTATTATTATTATTATTATTATTATTATTATACTTTATTCATTTCATTGTCAGTCTGTGTTACTTTCAGTGTTTTGTGGCAATTTAACTGTTGAACAGGTATCTTGTGGAAAGTATGTCAGTTCCCCAATATGTAGGGAAAAGATGATTGGATGACACTTCTGAAGGTATTGAGAGAAAACTAGGAGTACATACCTTACTCTGTTATAACTTACAAATTTTTCACATTTTTCATATGCATTTTGTGTTTGTAGTATCCCTTTGGTTGTCTAGTTTATTAGTTCTGTATCTCACTATAACATATTATCTCAAAACTTAGTGGCTCAAAATACATTTATTACCTCATGGTTCCTGTGTGTCATGAATCCAAGCAAGGCTCAGTGAAATCTTCTAGCTCACGGTCTCACAGGCTGGCTGTCCTCAAGGTGGTAGCCAGGCACAACTGGAGAAGGATCCACTTTCACGCTCACTCAGGTGGTTGTTGGCAGGATTCAGTTCCCTGTTGGCTGTGGGCCAGAGGCCCCCTCATTCTTTGCCACATGGGCCTCTCCAGAGGCCAGCTTACAGCATGGCAGTTGGCTTCATTATAGCAAGAATGCCAAGAAGCGCCAGGGAGGGAGGGCACGCACAAGGTGGCAGCCATAGCCTTTGGTAATCTAGTCCCAGGTCCTACCCATCATGTCCTCTCTCACGTACTCATTCGAAGCAGATCATAGGTCTAGCCCGTATTCGTGGGGCAAGAATGTGAGGAGGTGAGGATTATTGCAGGTCAGCCACATTTGGGAAAACTTTTTTAAGACCATAAATTTCCATTTGGTAGAGGATGAGTTCTGTACTTTGAGTCAGCTTGCAGTTATATGTTGGAAATGAATATAAATATTACATGTTTGTATAGCTAGAGACCTGAGTTATAATGAATATCTTAAACTGAGAAGTTTCAGCTCTTACTGGCTGTTAGCTGCCCATTCTCCTTATTCTCCAGATGGGGAGGCTGCCCCACTGTGCTGATGCCCATCAAGGCCCATCAATCCGATCAGGATTGTTCCCTCCTGCATCTCTTTAGGCATTGACTCCAAGCATATTTTTTTCTCATAATTACATGAGATATGCCTCTTTCGTGTGTTGAAATACATCTTTAAAAATGAGCGTTCAAAATACTACGGTAGAGGAAGCTCACCTTTTGTTCCCAGTGGCTGTGAAGTGAGGGTTCCTGGCCTGAGGCAGTGGTTCCAGTGTGTCTGGCTGACCCAGGCCATTTTTGTTAATCACTCAGGACCTCTCTAAGCCCTGAGGGGACCCAGGCTTCCCAGCCCGAGCCACCTCAGTTTAGTGTTATCCCTTACCCTTAGAGACCAGGGTAGTTAGACATTTTCGGAATCAGCCTGGCCCCTAAAGATTCTTGTGTCCACATCAGATCACCTCATATCATTGTCTGGGTTTTGACTTAAAACCCTACAACAAAGGTTGCAGCCTTTGGGGCCAGCCAGAAACATGGACATTAAGACTGAGATTCACATGCAAAAACATTTTAAACACAGTGTATGTCCCTGGACATTCCAGCAAATTTATAAATTAATTTTCCTGTCCTCATTTACCAGGAGCAGGTTCTCATATTCATGCAGTGGCCAACCCATATGACCCAGCTGTTTTGATAGTAAGTGATTTGATTTATAGAGGTGACGGAACGGTAGCACGGAGCCGTCAGCACCCATCAAAGGAAGTTGTATTACTCCCAGTTCCTAAGGGAAGGGGTGCACCACCCTCGCTGGACCACAGTGGGAAGCTGCTAGGTCTGTCGGGAGGCAGGAGTGAAGGAGAGATTGCAGGCCAGAGCCTCTGTTGGAGGAATGGGCAAGGCCGGGTAGGCAAGTTTGAGCAAGCTCAGGATTGGATAGTTTGAATAATTTCACGGAGAAGGCAGCTTGGGAGCCATTGCAGAGGAGGGCTCATTGCAGTCTCCTGTGCAACCTTTAAACCTACCATTGCGTGGGTTCTTCCCACAGAAACTCTCATTGGGCTGGGATTTTTTTTTTTTTTTCCTTAAGAGCTCTCTGGGCAGAACCAAGAACTGTGCCTTAGAGTATTCTCCAGCCAGGACTAAGGTTTGGTTCGTTTTTTTAGTTTTTGGTTTGTTTTTAATGTTCAAATCCACTATGGACTGACTGATATTTTTGTAAAATTCAATAAAAATGAATTATTTGAGAAATGGGAAAAAGGGATAAAATGCGAGCCCAAATATTAGTAGAGTCAACAATATACAATAACTGTATGAAATTGCTATGAACATTTCAAAGTGTTATCTCGTGATTTCTGTACTGGTTGTGGTGGACATGTAACAGAGTTTGGGACTCGTGTGGTCGACCAGCAGAGACTTTGAGTAGTGCTGATGTCGAGGGCAACAGGGCAAGAGTATCCTGTATTAAGTAAAGGGAAACATGTGCCATGGGAAGTGAATTGGGTTCAGATCACACAGGACCTTGAATGCTGGCATAAATCATTTGGTTTTTATTCTCTAGGTATTGGGGAGGCAGAGAATTCTTGAGACGAATGGCCGGATCCCGGCTAAGGAAGCTTACTTTGGCAACTTTGTGTACGATGGCTTCACAGTGAGGATAAATTGTTAAAAAGGATCTGAAAGGGGGTGGATGATGTGGCCGAGCCACTGGGTAAAATCAAGCAACAACTGTATCAGATTTCTGGAGAGGTCACTTCATAAATACTAATGAACTGCTTAGAGGAGATAAGAATTAAAGCTAGGCACTTTTTTTTCAAAGCTTAAATCATCCAAAAAAAAAAAAAATCCTTAAATTCTAAAGAATAACCCACCTAATGTATTTTCAGAAACCACACAGATTGAAGATCCGCGAAAACAGTGGAGGGGGGAGCAGGAGAAGATGCTCAAGGACTATCTCTCAGTGGCTCAGGATGCTCTCAGGACGCAGAAGGAGCTGTACCACGTGAAAGAGCAAAGACTCGCTTTGGCCCTCGATGAATACGTACGATTAAATGATGCCTACAAGGAGAAGTCAAGTTCTCACACAAGCTGTAAGTAGAGCGTGACTGCTCAGACTCTGGAAATGGGGACCGAAGTGTAGCTAAGGGAAGGCCACTTGGGTTTCAGTGGAGTTTCATTTTGAGTCCTGCTCCTTTCTAGGCAGAAAAAGCCCCCAGAAGCCACGAGAGGGGATGAGGGCACCCCACAGACTTCTCGGCAAAAGCCCTCGACTCCATTCCAGACAGAAGTCCCCACCCCCCTCATTTGTGGAGGATGAATCCCTTCTGGTTTTTGCTCCTTCCTCTGCCTGATTGCCTTTTATTTATTGATGAGTTAATTTTTACCTGTTCAGATCAAGGCAAATAATTTGGCCCCCTTTGCTACTCTTGTGCAATATTCTAGCGGGAGGTGGGTGGTGGGACTGTTGGCTGGAATGAAGTTTCTGTTGATCACCCTCTCATGTCTCAGAAACTGATCATCTGGAGCTGGTCTGTCTAAAGAAGCAGTTTGGATGGGCTCAGAAGTTCTCTAAGTTTCTGGGTAACGCACAGCTCTGACAAGCGCTATGTGCTGTCAGGTCCTCGAAGAGTTTATACGTAGGCATGAAATCCAGAGAACAGTAAGCTCCGTGGTCTTTATGACATTCCTCTTTCTTGAGTTTTTATAAAAAAAATGATAAAGGTTTGAAGATTACTTTTTATATTTAGGTGTCTGATGAATGACAGTAAAGGAATTCTAAAGTAAGTATCCACAGAAGCATGTAAATCTTGCTTTTAGAGTTTGTAAATTCCAAGCCGAGAGCAAGTTATACAACTTGTAAAAGTTACTTTTTTTTTTTTCTCTCTCTCCGAAAAGTATTCTCAGGATCTTCATCCAGTACTAAATATGATCCCGATATTTTAAAAGCGGAGATCTCCACTACACGATTAAGGGTAAGATTTTTTTTTTTTTTAAATTGTGGTTCTCTGTTTAACATATGTATAGAATCTGAAGGTGATGGGGGGGGCTTCATTGACCACCTGTCCTCTCCATTTGGTGTAGGAACCTCCTCCACTTTTGCCCCTGGAGGGTGGCCGGCCTACCTTTGTGACCACATGTTCAGTGATTGGGAATGTCCTCGTTATAGAGGCACGTGTCCCACTACTCGGCAGTTCTGTTATCTGCAGTAGGTTAAGTGTATTATATATACCTTGTAATATTAATATGACATTTACAAAATACTTAGTATATTTAGTATATTAAATCAACGTTCGAGTCGCGGGAACTTAACCTTATCATGCTAAAATGTGTCTTCCAGGGTTTGGTGTAGCGCCCACAAATCGTGTTCCCAAGTCATTCCTTCTCGAGTGTAAAACTTTACTAGTTCTTCACACTTCCTCATGGATTGTTTCCTGATCTTTACCCTAAATCTTTTTGACCACACTGCTGCTAAGACCAGAGCTGCTTTATCCTTGATTCTTGGAGTCTTAAAGACTGTTCGTCAAGTAAACACATTCACGCAGCCAGTATCTCAGTCATGAAACAGATTCTTACCATGACTCCAGACTTACCCTGCATCATCACTGCCCTTCTCCCTGAAGGTAATACTGGCCTCAGCAACACTGTAGGTGAATTTCTTACTTGCTTCCTTTGAATTTTGGTAAAATTCAATACATGCTGCCGTATGTATTCTTTCATGGCTTCTTTTGAACAACGCTTCGAGATTCGTCCACATTAGCCTTTACTGCAGCAAGTATTCCACTTTGTGTACGTACCGTAAATTCTTTATCTCTTCTACTGTTGATGTACATTAGAGTTTATTCCAATTTCTAGTCATTAAAAAATATGTCTTAACATACATTTCTATGATACGTATCTTTTGGTGCACATAGGCACACATTTTTGTTTGTTACGAAACCAGGAGTGGAATTGCCGCATCGGAAAATAGACAAGCTTCAATGTTAGCAGGGGCTGACAGAGGGCTTTGGGTCTCTGACTTGCTGATATCTGCCTTTTAAGCCGACATGACTTTCTACACATGGCTTTTGCCTTCACCCCACAGGTTTTGAATTTTGTATTTTTACTCTCAGTTCAAAATATTTTCTCTCTATGGTTTCTCATATGAGGGTATTAATTTTTAAACAGTTGGGGATTTTCTTATCTTTTTATTTATTTATTTATTTATTTATTTATTTTTACTGATTCCGGCTTAATTCCCTACTGTGTATTTCTCAGTTCTAAAATTTCTACTGGATTGTTTTTTATTTCTACTTACTTGCCCAAATTCTGCACATGGATATGTAATTTTTTTTAAAGATTTTATTTATTTATTTGAGAGAGAGAGAATGAGAGATAGAGAGCATGAGAGGGAAGAGGGTCAGAGGGAGAAGCAGACTCCCTGCTGAGCAGGGAGCCCGATGCGGGACTCGATCCCGGGACTCCAGGATCATGACCTGAGCCGAAGGCAGTCGCTTAACCAACTGAGCCACCCAGGCGCCCTGGATATGTAATTTTTTTGAACAAAATAATCACAGTTACTTTTAAATTCCATGTCTTTATTAATGCCGTGTGTAGATTTCCTATATGTTGAATTCTTCGATTTGGTCGTTTTTTTTCTCATGACTTTTGGTCACTATTTGGTCAAGCTTCTTAGAGCTGATTACTTTTTTATTAAGAGCCATATGTTATGTATGGAGAAGTATAAGGATAATTTGAGGTTTGGGATGATCTTGTCATCCTTCAGAGAGGATTTAGTGTTGCTTCTTAATGGGCAGTTAGGCCAGGGGCAGGTAATTGTAATTCAGTCATGGTCCAAGGTATCTGCAGTCTGGGCTTCATTCCTTTTCAAAGAGTGGGTCTCTTTCCACTTCACCCTTTCTCTTACGGCAGAGCTCTTCAAAATCCCACCTGAACTTTGGGGATATTTTATGGGGATATTCCATTCCTGCTCATTGGAAGCCAAACTCCAGATCTCTCCCCTGAACCTCTCAGCTCTGTGCGACCACCAGTAGCTAGCTCTCTGTACCTCCGGCTTCAGTCACTGTGTTCTCCCAACTTGTCAGCTTCTCTGTTGTACATTCAAATGCCTCCAAAGGAAAAACAACACCAAGTCTGGATACTGACTGTGGGCTTTCCTTACCTTTTGGGTTTTTAGCACAAGTTCTTGCTGCCATAGTAGTTCTCCAGTGTCTTCCTATAGATGTTTTGTTTTCTTTCTCACAACTTCTCTTTTTGTTCTCAGAGGGAGAGCATGAGAAAAGTCTGTACTTTTGGAAGCTAAACCTCTCTTCAGTTTGGATTTCTTGGTTTAATGTGTGAAAACATTAATAGAAGAGTTCTGTGTCCTACTGGAAATATCCATCCAGTGCATCACTGACCCTTTACTCTGTTGGTCCGTCCATGTTTCTCTGTACACTTCTTGAGAATGTTGTGGGATGGCTTGTCAGCTGCCTTGTTATTGTACCTCAGTCTATACACTTCTGTGATTTAAAAAAAAGAAATGAAAGTATTTTGTTAAAGCTTACTCTGAGTAAACTTTAATACTCACTGGAACTATGCACATCTCAGGAAATTATTACATATTACAATTGCCCTTTGAAATTTTAACAGTTTTTCACAGTTCTTATCTTTGTAAAACACGTTGTAAATGGAATAACCACAATAGGAATGGTCTTCTATTTTTCCTTTTAGGAAAGATGAAAACTAAAGAAGAGTTTTTTGTGTTTTTTTTTTAATTCAAATTAGTTAACATACAGTGAAAACTAAAGAGATTTCTTTTTTTTTTTAAGATTTTATTTATTTATTTGACAGAGAGAGACACAGCGAGAGAGGAAACACAAGCAGGGGGAGTGGCAGAGGGAAAGCGGGCTTCCTGCGGAGCAGGGAGCCCGATGTGGGGCTCTATCCCAGGACCTGAACTGAACGCAGACGCTTAAGGACTGAGCCACCCAGGCGCCCCTAAAGAAGAGATTTCAAAACAAAAGCATATAGGGTATCTCCTGCAGATAACCATTTAGAAGGAAATGAAGCCCCATCACAATCGGGAGATCCCAGGAGATCACAAGTGCTCACATTCCCCAGACCTGTCTCCTAATGCAGCAGAATCTCTTAAATAAAGCTTATTTTATACCAGGTTTGATGTACTCTTACTATCAGAAGCCTGTATTATATATATTTATATATATATATATATTTTTTTTTTTTTTCCCATCACTGTGAGACCACCAGAAAGTGCTTCTCTCCAGAGGAGTTTATAAGACAGTCATAGCTAAAGCTGTAATGGAAGATAAGAAGTGACACTGTCTTCATCTCTTTCATTAGTGAAGAGGTGCTTATTTAACACTTTCTGTCAAGGTAAATGCCTTTTTAAAAATGTTCCCCTAGCAAATTGGCCCTTGTGGCCTATGTTGCCGTTGTCGTGGTTTAAACACTGGCACAGCTGGTGCCTTCGCTCTGCTGTTTGTGCACATTTTGGCCACTTTGAGAGCACCCCAGCCATTCAGAAGTGGATGGGTAACTTGGCAGAGTCTCATAGATTTTGGTAATCTGGCCTTTCTTGGCTAGCCTACCCTGTCGAAATCCCTGTGTTGGCTAGTCCCTTTTCACAAATTAATGCCACAGAAATAATAACTCACAAATGAACTAATAACTCTTCATTACTTTGGTGTCTCAAGTACCTACCTGCATTGTCAGTCACTAACAATTTTTTAGGCATAGCCAAACACTAACTTCCTCTTCATTATTTTGATGTAACAGTATTAGTAGAATGTCCTTCATTTGTTTTATGGAATTAGAGCTAGTTGGTCAAATATTGAGGAACTAGGTATTTAGGAACATCTGTCTAAAACATCTGTTTTATAGTGTGGTCATAAGTATTGGTGATAATTGGGTTTTCTTTTCCCTCTCAGTCAAATGGGATAATTGGGTCTTCTTTTCCCTGTAGGCAGCTTATTTCTTATTTTTGAAATAGTGAAATGAGTAAGTTAATGCTCTTTATTAATATACTCATAACTTTTAGAGGTGGTATTTAATTGTGTGAGAAAATATTTCTTAGGAAGAGGAATGTAAAAACTTTTTACTGCAAAATTTATTATTTCTACAGTGAAGTCCATTATTTCTATGTAAACTGGGAAAAGAACTATTTCATTTATTCATGATAGATACTTAGACCATAGACCTTCTTGGGGTAGGGAATGGAATGTGTCATACAAACTGAAACTTAAATTCAGCTGATATTTAAAAAAATTCATACTCCATACAAACATTCATGATAAAAATTCTCAACAAAGTGGGTTTAGAGGAAACATACCTCAACACAATAAAGGCCATATATGGAAAACCCACAGCTAACATCATACTCAATGGTGAAAAACTGAGAGCCTTCCCCTAAGGTCAGGAACAAGACAAGGATGTCCACTCTCACCACTTTTATTCAACATAGCAATCATGCAGTAAAAAGAAATAAAAATCATCCAAACTGGTAAGGAAGAAGTCAAACTTTCAGCATTTCCAGGTCACATAATACTACATATAGAAAACCCTAAAGACTCCACCAAGAAACTGCTCGAACTCATAAGTGAATCCAGTAAGCTCTCAGGATACAAAATCAGTATACAGAAATCTGTTGCATTTTTGTACACTAATAATAAAGCAGCAGAAAGAGAAATTAAGGAATCAATCCCATTTACAATTGCACCAAAAATAATTAAAATACCTAGGAATAAACTTAACCAAAGAGGTGAAAGACCTGTATTCTGAAAACTATAAAACACTGATGAAATAAATTGAAGATGACACAAAGAAATGGAAAGACATTCCATGCTCATGGATTGGAAGAACAAGTACTACTAAAATGTCTATACTACCCAAAGCAATCTACACATTTAATTCAATCCCTATCAAAATACCAACAGCATTTTTCACAGAACTAGAACAAACAATCCTAAAATGTGTA